GTTATCATTTACGCGTTAAATGAGTTTGAACAATTTTGTCAGTTTAAGAAAATGCACACGAATCGTGCTATCTTGCAAAAAGTTTAATCACAACTTTATTGAATCGCAGTCTAATTGGCTGGTTAGCTATGTGCCAAAATGTGAGCGATACAGCTGTGGTGAATTTTAAATTGGATATTAATGTAAATAATGTGACAATTCAATTCACACAAATTTTAATACTAATTATTATTTAACTGGAAAACGGTTTCGAACATTTAATTTGCAGAGAACATGACACAATGTATTTTTGACCAATATCTTTTTTTTCAAAACAAAAGAAACAATTTATTTAGTGGCAATTCCGCTATAAACCAATCTGTTTCTATTACGATTGGTTCAAAATGTTTGCTTAAATTTATTCAAAATTTTTTAGGCGACTTTAAAATTGAAAATGCATATTTATTTGTTCATTAGTTAGATTTATTGGCATTAAATCGGTGCTAAGAATGGTTTGTTTTTTCATTATATATGACTAATTTATACCACGTTACTCCTCATGCATCGGTCAGTTGTAGTCTGATTTGTAGATGTTCGATTGCAATTTCCTTACAGAATACACGGTGGTCACTTCAAACATTAATTGAAGCAGCCAATAGCATAATTTTGTTGAGACAAACGTCTCGTTTTTGAGAGTTGCATTTAATTAAACAAAAAAACACAGTTAATGCATTCTTATCTTTAAAGTTGACGACATTTGGCCACATCTAAAACGTGTAAACAATTACTAGATACTTTCTAGTTGTGTCTGTTTTGGGTTTGTTTTTTGCATTATATTTTGTCATCAAAACACAAACATCGTTATTAATTATACATGTTGGCTTTCAATTGTGTGGTACATTTGATACCGGAAACAAAAACGTGTGCGAACTAGAATTTGGCAAAATAAAGTGGTGTGCTGTTCATCTGTGCATAAAAATGCCATTCATTGCTGAAAATATATGAAACTTTTTCAACAAATCGATTCGTTACCAAGGTAACCAGTGTTTCTGAGCTGAAATGGTGCATAAACGATTTTTGGCGAAAACTGTGTGCTTAAGTGACTTCTACACTGAACGACTGTAAGAAGAGTGCGCCATTTTAGAAATAGCATTTGCAAACAAAGGGCGAATGTCGACTTTCTGGTGTCCGAAACATCGATCTTTGCTGTACTGACGTTTGGCGACCCGTTACCACAATTCTCCAGACGACGTCAAATCCCTGGATGGTATTAAACTCTGGACGATGCCCTTCGACTTCTATCACCTGGCGACGGCTTCCCATAGTTCTGCGACAATCCTCCCACTTTTATTAGCCCAAATCTCTCCTTTTGACAACCTGACCTCACCCATCGAGTCTCTCCTTTAATCAACATGGCCGCATCTCTTGACTTTCATTGGCCTCGACTTCTGACGCTTACCGAGCAATTATTTTCGACCAGTTCTATCCCTTGGTTCTCGACTGTCAACCAGATCGAAAAACGTCATCGATATTACGATTCGGCATCATGCACGACTTATCCAACTACCAACTTTTAAGATATCCGAATGGTAGAAAAGGTTGTATCGGCAACAACGATTCGTTTCGAACGACTTCCGGAAACGCACAACAATGCCAAGTGTTTTAGTTACGTTCAGCGTATGACAGTCCGCCTCATTGAGATTCACATGGGCCACATTTCGACTGCAGAAACCTACGGCCTACCTTTCAGAATCCGCATTGGAAGAAAAGGTTAGCTGAATTATCTTGCTAAGGGAGAGAGAATACTCAGTCCGACCCGCATCGACAGCCACATCCCAATCACGCGAAACCTACGCCCTACCTTACAAAATCTCCGGTGGACAAAAAGGTTCACCAAATCCTCTCACTAAGGTGGAGAGCTGTTGTGAATCGTGTTTATTCACATCCCTTAATCCGATCGCTTCACCTCCGATACAAGGCTCCCCCTCTCGCAGCATGAAGACAGCCGCACAAATCCTCAACTCCCCCCTTCATTCACACGTATATGTATCTTGGATTAACCTCACACCTAGGTCTCGATGTTAGCACATCTATGACCCACACATAAATACACACGCGCAAGCCCCACACACGACACAATGACAACAGTTTCGGTTGAGCTCTGAAGTAAACTGTTGTGTCCCGTCCTCTCCAGTCTTTTCCTTCATCGCGGGCATCAGGCAAGCTTAATCAGGCCAGGGTTAATTCCGTGGCTCCGGCGTGGTTCACGACCACATGCTGGGGCCCACAACAATTGATGACCCCGAAGACATCAGTACCATCATGACTCAGTAAATTCGTTGCTATGGCTCACTTCCTATATAGGTAACATATTTACGGGAAAATGTGTGTTTTTTGTGGTTCCGATGTGGGTTCAGGAAACTTCTTGGGAGCTACTTTTTTTCAAATTGACCCGCGAATAAGCAGACTCTGAATTGTGCCAATCAGGAACCACCAGACGCACAGATCATGGACGTCACCGCCTCAAGTAATTATTTGTCAAGCAACAGTCGTCTATTATCTGAATTGAAAAACGGTGCGAAATTCGAAACGAAAATAGAGACGCATTTAAAAAGGCGTGATTGGGGATATTATAATTTTTAATTGAGCATGCAACCGTTTAAACGACCACTTCTGACGTCATTCGTTTGGGCAGAAATTAAAGTGAGTGAAAACCGTGACCGCAATGTACCCAGTTAAAGCTGCAACTGACAACGACTTGAGGTAGTCTGACATTAATCCGTCACATCCTACCATGGCAACTTGTCAGAAGGTGACTTGTTTAAATACACTGACCATGAAGGTCAGCCAATGTGACTGGAAATTATCATTTATCATTGACTGGCAAAATTGCGTGGTTTGTGTACTTTTACACGAGCTTTGTGGTTGTTTATTTGCTGTTTTAACCTGGAGAAAAAATAGCGTTTTCGATGAGTTGACTTTCACCAAAAAAACACCCTTTTTTATTTGCATTAGGCCGGGTTTTAGGGGGGTTTTTGTGTGCGAGTGTGAATTCGTTTGTGGTTGAAACGAAATGTCTTTTCAACCTGCACTTAATGCAAAGTGAACACAGGGAAAGATCGCTGGTAGAAATGATTTTTGACCCACACTGCTACCGCGCTGCAAAAACATGGTTTGATTTATTGAAATACAGCAATAACGAGGCTTTCTGCCGCAAATAGCACAATACCGTGGCTGGCTCAATGGTCGGAACCCTGCTCCCTCCCTTTATTGACCAAGTTTAACCCTGTAAACAAGTTTATATCTCCATTCATAATGCAGACCCTATCGTGGCTGTGAATCTTG